ATTACTCCATGTCTCATTATAATCGGAGGGCAAAGCCTACAGGTTTAGCTCCTACTTACTTCAGAGGACAGACCACCGGGACGCTCCGTCTTGCTTTTGGGTTTGCCTGGCTATTTTTCCAGCCAGCGAACCATTCCGCCACCCAGTGGTCCCTTTTCAGACCACTTAGTCTCCTGTACTGCTCAAAAATGCACAATATGTCTATAAATAATTTTAGGATAATATAAGGAAGTGCTGAGATATACCGTTTTCCACCGAACTAACGTATTTGCCACTTCGGCACAAGCACAGTGAGAAACATCAGAGGATAAAAACACTAGACTCAGAGCAAAAGTCAGATGTCCCAGCTTTTACTAGCATGTAAACGCACCATCTACACACAAATCTGGGAGCTTCCCCGAAGCGTGAAATGAGTCTCAAAAATAGTTGTGCAATTGTAACCGGATCTGTGTGTAAATGCAGTTTTGTGTGTGCGTACCAGGTGATTTGTGTGTACTTTTTCAACATGTATAGGCGTAGGAGAAGGTTTGTTTTTATTTTTAAGGTTTACAAATCACTGGATTTGTAAACATTACACACGCACAGATATTTTTACACACACACAAATCTTTTTACACACGCACAAATCCTTTTACGCACGCACAAATCATTTTACACACGCACAAATCTTTTTACACACACACAGATATTTTGAGACTATTTTCACTCCATAAAACAAAGCTAAAATAACATGAAATAAAGGAAATTTGATAATTTGGTTCTAATGTGTTCCAGATGCAAAAAAAGTTCAGATATAGACCTGTTTCAGACTTCTTCCAGGAAGTTGGTGTTAATTGTTGTATTTTTCTTGCAAAAAATGTTAACACATATGCATGCTCGTTTATATTTGTCTTGTCAAAACCAACTTTGCCACAGCATCTTAATCAATTATCATATTTCTGTCCCTGAATAATGAACTTAGGAAACTGGCAAGAATCAAATATGTTTAATGTGAGGCTTGTCTGATTGGCAGCTGTCCCTACTGATAGTCCTGTAGCAACAAAGCTTAATGGATCCAACAAACTACAAAAGAACACTAATTTAATATCATAGCATAACACGGCAAAAGCCATTCAAAATAATACAATTCAAAATATAACTAAATACAAGATACATACACTCTAACACTGAAGCGAAGTTTCAGTGTTAGAGTGTATGTATGGGTATCAGTTTGGGTATCAGTTATGAGGTGGGAGGGAGTAAGAGTTTTTCACTTTAATCAGCGCTAACCAATAGGGACACGTCTTACATTGTTCGTCTTTAGGCCCCGCCCACAATGTTCATGTTTCTAACAATGAAAACTCTGAGTTCAACCAAAAAAAGGGAGCATCAAAACCAAAAGTTTGAGAATTGCAACCAAAGATTTCTGACATGCGCACATAAAAGTTTATATTTTGCAAATAACTTTTTCTCTTCATGAGACAAAATTAAAAAAAAGGTTTTTAGACATTTTTTTTCTTTTAAAACAAAATATTCCATTACAATACAAAAAATTTCATTACAGTTCAAAAATTGGACCACAACTTATTTTTTAAATTGAGATTAGTTTTTGTTTGATACAATAATATTGAGACAAATTTTTGTCCAAAAATATAAATATATATATTTTTTCCCCCTGTACTTACATTATGTATTGCATCATAGACTACTTTAAACGCAGGCTGCTTGTCATCATGATATACTCCACGGTTGCCATGGAGAATAGACACGCCTTCCTGTTCAGCTCCTTTACAGTTACTCCCATACATGCAGTGGTCAGGTCTGTAGTTCCACTGGCAGGGAAAGATATAGAGATGCTCTGCAACAGAAGGAAAAAAAAAGAACATGTCATCACATGTTCAGATTTAAGACATTTAATAAGGTGTAAACAGCCCTGCTACAGAACCTGCTTTTTTGTATTTTAAAACTATTTCCACCTTAATGTGACATAATTCTGTACAATTAAGCTAAAAAAACAAACAAATCTAGTTAACTGAATTAGCCTAACATAAAATTCAGCTGTAGATGTTAGCTTCTGTGGTAGTTCTAAGACAGTTTCCACTGTGCATATCAATGAATATTAAGGTATATTTGGTGTTTGAACTATTAAAGTGGGGCAGTTATAAGCGGTTTTGAAGGAGCTATCAAGGATTCCCAGAATTTTGTTATTTGCGTATGGCTGTGGGTTGTGTATTGTTTTTAAATTTATTTTAAAATGCAATTTATGTAAAAAAATAAAAACACCAAACAAGGACATGTTTAAATAAAATTGTATAGAAATGGGGAAATGGAGAAATTGGGGATAGCGTTGTCTGTAAAAGAAACCTAGGATCATAAAATTGATCAGTTTTATGTGTTTTGCACGGTGTCTATGCCCTGCCAACCACACAAGGCAGGTAGAACAAAGTGTTTCCGTCAAAGTAAAATGTCCTCCAGTTGCTGCAATCCATTGGCTCAAGAGTTGGTGAACAATAGGTAACAGATGCTGGGTAAGAATGCAGATGTTTGCAACCTCAAGATGTTTCTAAGGTTTTCTAAAAGAGATCCGATCCATCCGTCTGATTTAAAACCTTTGTGTACAATTGCACAAACAGAGAGGGTGCAGTCTTTCACCAAAAAATAGCAAATTGAAATGCTTTTCTTTTTAGAATTAATCTAGAAATCATCTTTCTTGTCTCACATCTCAGTCTCTAAAAGTTGCTTCTGATTTCAGAGCAAAGAACTGGACTTTTGTCTATAGAAAAATGTAAAAGATTCATCTGAAGACATCGGAGCGGAGCTTTTTTTGGCTTTGTTGGTTGGCAGCCAGCGTACTGCTGCTGCATCTGAGAAGTTAATGCCCACATCTGACAGCTGCAGCAGAAACTCGGTCTGCAGCCACCGCCATGACAAGGACCGCTTTAAGACACTACAGGATTAGTGAGCAGAGCAGGGTATGCTTTTCAACCTTTAATATAGAACGTTTCAGAGTAGTTGTGGTTTCTTTATTCACATTAGATGTGATGAATAAAGTGAAACAAACACTGCACCTGGGTTATAGTGGAAGATAATATTGAGGAGGTCCTGGTCTCCCCATGTTATGTGGTTCTTGTACTTCTGGTGAAGCGGATGAAGAAGATCTTCCCACAACAGACCACCAGCAATCAGGCTACTCTGCAAGAGCAAGACGGGCAGGAGAAGGAAAGTCATCAAAGCAGCTGGACATTTGTATTCTCCTTTCCAAGTGCTGCCAGTAGAGATGCTAAATTGAGCTCTGAGGCATGATGTTTGTGTGGTGAAATGGAAAGTCTTTTTCAGAGCCACTCTGAGCACTCAGGGGAGGGGGTAAGAAATTACAGGCCACTTTAGTGTGTTTATCACAGCGTGGAGTGACGGGGGGGGCTGTGTTCGGTGCTCACCTTAAACAGTGTTCTGCGGATCCTAGTCAGGTTCATCAGCATCACGCCAGAGTTGACCCCTGTCACTCCATAGAAAGGGTGCCGGGCGAAGCGGCTGTACCAGCCGATCTTGGACACCTCGTGCTCTGGAGCCATGGCCGCCAGCTGTGACCCATTAAAGGACTTGAGGAACATCCAGATATCGTCCATAGGCCGCAGAAACAGAACATCGGTGTCCACGTAAAGCAACGAGTCCACATCTTTCAGGATTATCTGGAGGCAACAGTAGTACATAACACGAATGCAAACAATTAATCAATTTACCATTGTCAATTAATGGTTTATTAGATTGAAATTTGTTCCAATTGATTAACAAATGTCTAATTAACATCAGCTTAGAAATTCATTAAGTATTGTAGTTTGGCCACCAAAATAGAACCCTTACATCTTTATGTGTTTTCTCTACTAAAGAATAATGGCAGTCCTCACTGTGAAGACTGAGAAACAGCCAGCCAGCCAGCCAGCCAGTCAGCCTCCCTCTTATCCGGGATCGGGTCGCGGGGGTAGCAGCTTAAGAAGGGAGGCCCAGACTTCCCTCTCCCCAGCCACTTGTTCCAGCTCCTCCAGGGGAATCCCAAGGCGTTCCCAGGCCAGCCAAGAAACATAGTCCTTCCAGCGTGTCTTGGGTCTTCCCCGGGGCCTCCTCCCGATGGGACGTGCCCGGAACACCTCACCAGGGAGGCGACCAGGAGGCATCCTGACCAGGAGCCTCATGCATGAAAGAATCCGCAGTTTTCATAATAAAACAGGGCGTACAGAAAAAATTTAGAAAAGTGCGACACACCAAAAAAATGGGATGCATAAAGCCGTGCGCACACACATGGCTGCGCCTCTTTCCTTTATAAATCCTAATTTACAGGAAATAGAGCGCAGCTGCTGGTCCGCCTGTCGCCACACATAAATACATATGTAGATTAGTATAAATACCCTCAAGTCTGCCACCACGTGAAGCAGTAACCATGGCGACGTCCTTGTTTGTAGCAGTATGAGTATTTATAATAATGTATTTTATTTTAAAGGTGTTTTTAGGACACGTAAGGTCACCTCACAAAAATAAAAATAATACATTTTAAAGAAAAACAAATAAAATCCAATTAAAATGAATAAATAAAGAGATGGTGAAAATATCTGTTTGAACAATAGGGTGTTCAGCCGGGATTTAAAGACAGACAGCGTGTCACAGAGTCTTTGAGTGGGGAATGTGGATGTTTATTCTAAATAGTAGAATCATGTGCATAAGTTGTACATTTGCAGAATAAAGATGCTTTCTATTCAGAAAGGCGCTTTCACAAAGCTGGTGGCTCGATGACTGCAGTTGCACCGGTACTGCACGGCTCCTTTAAGTTTTGCTCAGAGCTCCAGGATGATCAGTCTGGATTAATATAAACACTAGTAAACCATCATCAACAGAAGATAAATAATATCTCTCATCAATTGCTCCCTCTAAATCCTTCCATTGGCAATGTTCTCCATCAGAGCCAAAACGCTCCACAATGCGGCACATTTTTGCGCAGCTACGTACATACGGGATTGTCTACACACCTTAATCATCTTAAAAATAATCAAACCTGTTTGGAGTTAATCTGCTGATCCAACCTTGGTTTTTCTTTTTTTTTCTTTTTTTATTGAGAATGAAATTACCCCATAGATGCATTTCATGCGCTTCGGCACACAGACTGACGCGTTACATCTTTACAAGACAAAAACTGAGGAAAACTACTATTTATATTTGAGTGAGGTTTTCACATCCTTTAATTTTTATTTCCTTTATTTTGTGTTTGTGTTATTTTATTGTATGGGGATAAATGCGGTTCAGTTTCATCGTTTACTTTTAAGCAATACAAAAATAAAATCATGAAAAAAACATCGGGTTTGATGCTTCTTGGTCTAAAAAACACTGAATGTCGTCAGGTTTCAGTGTATTTAGATGAGTTTTGACGCTTAGTATTTTGATGGCTGCCGTACATTTTCACGCCAGCGAAAAAGTGTGCGCATATTTACGCACACTTTGATACAAAGTTAATTTTTATACATACCGACTTGTGGGTAAAATATGGCGCCGCACATATTTTGTGCGCACGCAACGCTTTATGCATGAGGGCCCCAGATGCCCGAGCCACCTCCACTGGCTCCTCTCGACGTGAAGGAGCAGCAGCTCTACTCTGAGTCCCTCCCGGATGACCAAGCTTCTCACTCTATCTCTAAGGGAGAGTCCAGCCACACTGCTGAGAAAGCCCATTTCGGCGCCTTGTATCCGTGATCTCGTTCTTTCAGTCATGACCCAAAGCTCATGACCATAGACGAGGGTGGGAACATAGATCGACGGGTAAATTGAGAGCTTCACTGTTTGACTCTGCTCTCTCTTCACCACGATGGACCGGTACAGTGCCCGCAGAAGCTGCGCCAATCCACCTCTCGACGTCCTGCTCCCTTCTTCCCTCATTCGTGAACAAGATCCCAAGATACTTAAACCCCTCCGCATGAGGCAGGGCGTCCCCCCCTACCAGGGTAGAGTGCCTGGAGAAGGCACTCTACCCTTTTCTGGCTCAAGATCATGGCCTTGGATTTGGAGGCACTGATCCCGGTTGCTTCACACTCGACTGCGAACCGCTCCAGCGAGAGCTGCAGATCACGACCTGATGAAGCCAATAGGACCACAACATCCCCAAAAAGCAGAGATGCGATCCTAAGGCCACCAAAACGGATCCCCTCAACACCTCGGCTGTGCCTAGAAATTTTGTCCATGAAAGTAATGAACAGAATCGGTGACAAAGGGCAGCCTTGGTGGAGTCCAACTCTCACCGGAAACGAGCCCGACTTACTGCCGGCAATGCGGACCAGACTCTGACACCGGTCATACAGCCCGTATCAAAGGGCCCGGTACCCCATACTCCCGGAGAACCCCCCACAGGACACCCCGGGGGACACGGTCGAACGCCTTCTCCAAGTCCACAAAACACATGTAGACTGGTTGGGCGAACTCCCATGCACCCTCCAGGACCTGCTGAGGGTGTAGAGCTGGTCCAGTGTTCCACGACCAGGACGAAAACCACATTGCTCTTCGTGAATCTGAGGTTCAACTATCCGACGGACCCTCCTCTCCAGAACCCCTGAATAGACCTTGCCAGGGAGGCTTAAGAGTGTGACCCCCTGTAATTGGAAAACACTGTCCGGTCCCAATTTTTGAACAGGGGGACCATCCAGAGCCTTAAGACACTCCGGGCAGATCTCATCCTCCAACGAGTTCGAGGGTTGCCACCTCGACAGGCACCGACAACCTTGTGGCCGCAGCTCCGATAAGCCGCCTCGGCAATGGAGGCATGGAATATGGTCCACTCAGACTCAATGTCTCCAACTTCCCCCGAAACGTGTTTGAAGTTCTGCCGAAGATGGGAGATAAAGCTCCGCCTCACAGGGGACTTGGCCAGATGTTCCCAGCAGACCCTCACAACACGTTTGGGCCTGCCAGGTCTGACCAGCATCTTCCCCCATCACCGGAGCCAACTCACCACCAGGTAGTGGTCAGTGGACAGCTCTGTACCTCTCTTCACCCGAGTGTCCAAGACATGCCGCCGCAGACCCGATGATACAATAACAAAGTCGATCATCGAACTGTGGCCTAGGGTGTCCTGGTGCCAAGTATGCCATGTTCAGGCATAAGGACACCCTTATGCCTGAACATGGTGTTTGCTATGGACAATCCATGACGAGCACAGAAGTCCAACAACAGAACACCACTCGAGTTCGGTCCGGGGGGGCCGTTCCTCCCAACCACGCCCCTCCAGGTCTCACTGTCATTACCCACGTGAGCGTTGAAGTCCCCCAGCAGAACAAGGGAGTCCCCAGGAGGGGCACTCTCCAGTACCCCCTCTAAGGAATCCAAGAAGGGTGGGTAATCTGAACTGTTGTTTGGCCCGTAAGCACAAACAACAGTTAGAACCTGTCCCCCCACCCGTAGGCGGAGGGAGGCTACCCTCTCATTCACCGGGGTAAACCCCAACGTATAGGCACCAAGATGGGGAGCAACAAGTACACCCACTCCTGGCTGGCGCCTCTCACCGTGGGCAACTCCAGAGTGGAAGTACATCCAGCCCCTCTCAAGGAGACAGTTTCGAGAACCAGATCCATACTTCGAGGCGAGACCGACTATTTCTAGCCGGAACTTCTCAGCCTCACACACTATCTCCGGCTCCTTCCCCACCACAGAGGTGAGGTGATATTCCATGTCGCAAGAGCCAGCTTCTGCAGCCGAGGATCAGACTGCCAATGTCCCCTCTCTCGACCGCCACCCATCCCACACTGCATCCGACCCCTTTGGCCCCTCTCACGGATGCTGGGCCCATGGGAGGGGGGATCCATGTGTCCTCTTCGGGCTGAGTCCGGCCAGACTCCAAGGGTAAAAGTCTGGCCATCAGGCGTTCGCCATCGTGCCCCACCTCCAGGCCTGGCTCCAGAGTGGGGCCCTGGTGACAACAAGTCCAAAGTTATTCCTCATCATAGGAAGAGGTGAAAGTAGTTTTCACCCCTGAAAACTATATATCCATAGCCAGTCTTGTTGAATGGGGCCACAATCAGTCACCTCCTCTACATGGATGACATCAAGCTGTACGCCAAGAGCGAGCGAGACATCGACTCACTGATCCACACCACCAGGATCTACAGCACTGACATTGGGATGTCATTCGGACTAGAGAAGTGTGGCCGGATGGTTACAAAGAGAGGGAAGGTCGTCCACACAGAAGGGGTCTCACTCCCAGAAGGAACAATAGCAGACATTGAGGACAGGTACAAGTACCTGGGAATACCACAAGCAAATGGCAATCTCAATGAGGTCACAAGGAAAGAGCCACAGCCAAATACCTCCAACGAATAAGGCAAGTCCTGAGAAGCCAGCTCAATGGCAAGAACAAGATCCATGCGATAAACAGCTATGCCTTACCAGTAATCAGATACCCTGCAGGAATAATTAGCTGGCCAATGGAAGAGATAAAGACCACGGATGTTAAGACTCGGAAGCTACTAACCATGCATGGAGGGTTCCACCCCAAATCCAGCACCCTGAGACTGTACATGAGCCGTAAGGAAGGAGAGCCA